AACAATATGTTATTCAACACTGCATTAAAAATGGGTAATATATTGTTTGTTTAAACTATGCTTCAAAAATAATTGAAGGGCTTACCAACACTGTTTAAACTTTTCAGCATAGCACAAAAAAGTTAAAATATAACTTTAAAGCTTTTTGAATTATTCCCAGCTGGAATATAGTTCAAGACGCAACACTAGAAACTCACGAAGCGTTTTCCAACACTTCAATACACTTCAATTACATAGGTGCATACAAATGCATTCATATGCTCTATTGGTTACTTAGTTAGTTATTTATATGCATAGATATCTATATTCCAATTATTTCACCATTTTGTTGCGAATTATTCTAATTTTATAGTTTGGATATATCAATAAATATATATATATTTTAGTCTAAATAAATAACTAAACCATTTTTTCTATAAGTTTCTTCACATTCCCAGTGAAAACTTGTTTTCAAGCTCAAGTTTGACAAAAGCAGAAGAAGAAAAAAAAAACTTAAATAAAAATATACGTATTTCACCCATTTGCAGAGAGACTGGGGCGACATTGTCAATGTCAATACCAAGATCGGCCGATTGCTCGCTTGGGGGTTTTACTATAGCCATCTCGCTCGCTCTCGCTAGGGCCAAGCGCTGACAAATGCGCATATGTTAAGTCTTCAGCTGCGATCTGATTGCATATGCTTAACGGTTCTTACTTGATGTGGCGCTTTAAGCATTTCGAGTCACTCGCAAGTGATTAATGGGAGAGCCGCAGCAGCAGCAGCAGCAGCAGCAGCAGCAAAAATCGACAGCTTACCTTTTCTTTTTTGTTTGTACTTTTCGTTTCTGACTTTTATGAGCAATTAAAAAACTATTATTACCCAAGCAGGCAGGCAGGCAGGCAGGCAGGCAGCTTAAAATGCAGCTGCAAGAACTATGACGTTTTAATGGGCGCCACGAGTGTGGGTCGTAAGCTGGCCTCCCTCACGCGTTCGCTCTTTCACACGCACGCACACACACGCACACATATACACACTCAATTCTCAATTTAGACGCGTCCGCTGAGTGCAACGGAGGCTGTGCGCATGCGCTTTGCTTGGAATGCGGAAATAATGTTATTTTCAGGTTGCTCGTCGTTGTTGTTGTTGTTGTTTTCCTTTTTTTTTTTTTCAACTCTAACTCAAATGCACACACTGCCAACAAGCGCGAGTAATTGCTAGCGGTGCGGGCAGGGACGGAGATCGGGGTAGGGGGCATAGAAAATGTCATTTGCGGGCAACAGCAGCAGCAGCAACAGTTGTTGCTGCAACTGGTCATGAAAACTAATTTATGACTGGTCTAAATGTCACCACATAATGTGTTTTGTGTGTGTAAGCAATGAAAATAATTAGGTAAAACACAAATTGTGACATCATTCCCGAATGTAAAACTTTAATATTCGAGTCGAAGAGAAACTGTTAAGAGCAAATTGTATTTTTTTGTATTTTACTCTCAAACGCATTCCAAACATTCCTGACGCATCCATCTTCAAAACCAGCTTACAATCCACGTTAATCACAATATCGGAATTCTTTTGAATTCTCTTTCTTTTCTGCAAAGCTCGTTTATCTCTCTCTCTCGCTCTCTCTCTTGCAGTTCACCCACTCACTTGGGCAAAGTCATTATTTGCACAGCATTACATGGCATGTCATATGCAGCACATTACAACAAAACCAACAATAACAATATCAACATCAGCGGCATAACTAACATAACTCTCGCCTGTCTGATCTCTCTCTCTCTCTCTCTCTCTCTCTCTCTCTTGTTCCCTCTCTACAAGCACAAAGCAAGCAAGTTTGGCTTAACTTTCAGACTCTCTTTCCTTCTGCCCCGCAACAGCACGATACGACGACGACTCATTCACACACCGTTCACATAACTTAAAACGTGCTTTTTACATTACACACAAACAGCATCCAGCCAGACAGACAAACAGACAGACAGACAGAGAGACAGAGAGCAAGGGCCGTGGACTGCGATGGCTGCTGCGCTGCTTAATCTTTGCATTCTTGACTGCTGAGCAACTAAGGCAACTTGGAAAAGCAACAGCAACGGCAACAACAGCAGCAACTGCTGTCTCTCGCTCTCTCTCTCTCTCTGTCTCATTCTTTTTCTCTCCACTCCTCGATGTTGGTTTTCGTCGCACAACCATCATACCCAAAAAGAGTGAGAGCTGAAAAATTTTACGGCATGTTAACTGTCTACGGTATTGAGCACATAAAGCAAACGCTGTGCGAGAGGGCGACATAGGGGAGTTGCGTGTAAATGTATGAGTGAGCATGCGACTATTTAATTGTATATGTGCGTACGCACGTACGTACGACATGCCGTAATTAATCATTGGTGGCCGTTTGGAGGCCGCTTTTCTCCCTCCCCTTAGCTATATCTTGTCCCCTAGCCGACACCAATCAAGCGAACGGACCCGCAGTTTGGTTTTTATTATTATGAATTGTGTTAATCGTTACATTATTTCTTTTTCGTTTGTTACATCATTGCTTACAAGCATAAAAAGCGACATTAATAGCCGATGTTAGCGTCGCAGTCAGCGGCAACGGCAACGGCGACAGCGACGGCGACGGCGACAGCGACAGCAGTCAGCCATCAATCACACGGACAAAACGGAAATAAATATAGGAAACATGCGCACATTTGGAGGCGCTGCCAGCGAAACGTGGTGGAATGAAAAACATTGATGAAGATAGAGGGCAGGCAGAGGTGAGGGGCTCTCTGTCTGTGCAACGGAAGTGCGTCTAATTGAGCAACTGACAGAATGCGCGCGTCTGCGGCATGTGCTAACAACAACAACGCCAAGCAATGGGCTCCCCTTAAGAAGAAGAAGAAGAAGAAGAAGATGATGATGATGAAGAAGAAGAAGCAAGCGCATGCATCGAACGCAACGAGACAGTTCGACTCGTCGTTGCCCCCATCTCAATCACAACAACGACAACAACAACAACAACAACCTCGTCTCTGAATGACAGCTAACACGTGCTGGGGAATTGAATATTTTCCGTTATGGGATTTACAGTAGAACGAAAAAAATCCCTGCCTTTTGTCTGTAGGTATTACGAGGATTCAGAATAAAAGGCTAAAAGAGCAAGCTATGTTTATAAAATAATAAGAATAATAAGTATAAAACATAATTGCAGTTTTATAAATACCCTATACACAACGTCGATTCGATAAGACTTTAGATACCCTATACTATTGATAAGGCCATGCCCGTTTCCTCGTTTACCTAAACTTTGAATTTCCATTTCATTTCAATGAAGTTATTGTTTTTTTTTGGATATCTCTCTAGCGAGACTTTAAGTAATACATATAGCGAATCTTTGGGAGAAACTTTTGAAAGCTAATCGAGTACGCTGAATATCTGATCAATTTTCATTGCATTAGCCGGCATTTCCGGGCTGTAATGGCAACTCTGGCATGGTACGATATCTAAATGTGCAATGGCAGCGCCACAAATCGCATGGCATGCCACATGCCACATGCCACATGCCACATGCCACAAGCCGCATGCCAACAGACGTCTCAAGTGTGCTCCACACACCAAGAAAAAATACCCAGACGGTGAGTATGCAATTGAGTGACTGGCGCGTTTGATTCGGCCCCTCCCACTCCCCATCAGCCACCCACCCCTCGCCTAGCCAATGTGTCAGCCAAAGTGTGGTGTGTTGGCGGGCAGGGTCTGCCCGGACCGGGGGGGGGGGGGGGGGGGGGGGGGTCCTTGCTCTAGAAAGTTTTGCTGCTGGAGCTGCAGCAGTCGCCGTTGTCGTCGCCAAGTTATTATTATTGCAGTTGCAGTTGCAGTTGTTGTTGTTGTTGCGACAGACGCGCCATTTGTTACACATTATTTAGCCGGTCGCTTTTCCCGTTTTCCGGAATTTTCTCGATATTTATTACAGCGTGAGTGTTTAGAAACTGGGCCATGCGGAAATGCCACAAAGAACGAGAGAGCGAGAGAGAAAACAACAATCTGTGAAATATCGAGGAACAAACGGAAACTAATTCTTCTCCTACTCCTTCCCATCGGCCTCATCTTCCTCATCTTCGCCCTGCTGCGCCAACAATGACGCCTATTAAACTTCCATGTTCACACGTCTCACACATTGTCAATCGAGAGAAATTCCATACGGCTGGGCGGCAACAATTAGCCGACCTAGCTATACCCTGCCGTGCAGCTAAATATCGTAAATGAAACGAAATTCATTTAATTTAAGCAAATTTCGTAGAAACATTGTTTTTTAATTAATATTAATTTAAAGCAAAAAAAAATTTTAATATATTATTATATCTCGTTTTAAAATCGTAAAAAACGGAATATATTGCCAAAACCCATAAACTCTCAATTTGATCACAAACTGTGCAGGGCACATTCGAAGATTGGAATGTCACATTAATTTGGAGCACGCGAGAAGCAAAAGAGAGCAGACTAGAAGAGTATGGAATGTGGACAGTGGAATGCAAGCAACTTACCTAGGGTGCCTCTTCGTAGTTGTTGTTGCTGTTGTTGTTGTTGATTATGTTGATGTTGGTGAGGCGAGCGAGAGAGCGGCAGCACAACAATTTATCTTATTTATTGTTATAAATTTAAAACACGTTTCGATTTTCTGGCGCGCTGCTGCTGCTGTTGCTGCTTCTTCTCCCTTTCGTTTTGCTGCACTTTCTTTTGCCTTTGGCTGTGCAGCTTTTCTGGCGAAAGCGTAGATAACAACAAAGTGTCAAAGTGCGCGAAAGAGATGGCTTTATAAAGGGCACAGATATCTGAAGAGTGGGAGAGAGCAGAGAGGTAGCAAACGCAGAGCCAGGCTTCCTTCTTTCGTTCTTTCCTTCTTTCTTTGTTAGGAACTCACAAAATGCGTCGCGCGACCCGTTTGCGAATTCGCCGCGTTTCTCAATTCGCCGCGTTTCGTCTCTTCGTTTCTCCAAACTATTTGACTAGCAATTTTATTTATTTAGGTTATCATTTTTTCATATTTATTGTTTTGTTTATTGTTGCTCTTTGCTCTCTGCGTTGCATTTGATGCTGTGGCGTTGCTGTTGTTGCAGTTGTTGTTGCAGTTGTTTCAGTTGTTGTTGTTGTCAGTTTCTCTTTCAATTTGGATTCCTTTGCAGTGTCACATTTTACACTTTTTATGATATTCCACGTGACTTTAATAATGCATTTTGCGAACCTAAAAAGGAAATAGAAATTCGTTAATTTCCAATTAGCTTAAGTACTTTTCAATACGAAAATATATTTTATAAAATAAATAAATAACAATTGGGAGTCAGGAAATCAGCAAATCGTTGGGAAGATGCCCCTTAACTAAGCCTTAAGTATCCTTTAATTTCTAATATATATATATATAGAGATGATAATCTCTATATGTTTATATACCTCCGTATAGCCTAATTAGTTAACATTTAATTACTTAAGCAACCCATAAATACAATAAATTTTAGCTTCAAAGTACAGTTGACATCGGGTTATATAAAAGTAGTGCAAATAATAAGCCCGATCGAGCCTGAAAAGCAATTCATAATTTGCTCCCCCCTTTGAAAGAAGAGAGAGCATAAATCTTTGAATGAAAAAAAAAACGCTTATCTTTCGAAATGAATCAAAATGAACATAAATGTAAAATAAAAAAGATTAACACACGATTGCCAACGTTATCACAGGAAAACAAAAAAAAAAAGTATTAAGAAAAAAATACAAAACACCAAAAAATTGCCTTAAATAGCATTTTGGCACTTACGAGCCACGCCTTTTCTAGACAAAAACAACAACAACAGCAACAAAAATGTGCAGAAATAGCAGAGTAGTTGTTGCTGCTGCCACGCCCCCTCGCCAACCACCCATCAGCAATGCAGACACAACAAAGGCAGACAAAGAGGCGCAGCAACAAAAAGAAGAAGAAAAAAGCGCAGCATACAATTCTACTACTAAAAGTCACGTGGGGTGTTGTGTGCGGCACGCGAAGCCGGGCAAAAAATTGGTGTGGGAAGTTGGCGGGGAGCAAAAACGACAGAAAGTGCATATATGTATGTATAAAGAGAAATACATACATATAAATGGGTTTCAAATAAATAAATAAATTAAATGATAATTTTTGTGTTTTTTGTTTTTTGTGTGTTGCTTGCTTTTGCCTTTAATTGGGCCCGCGGCAGACGCTGAGCAATGTTTTAAATACCAGTTTTATTTTGCTTGCAATTCGCACGATTCGTCTAAAATTTATTTTGGCCAAGACAACAAATAAACAGTCACGGGCGCAGACACATACAGACAGACAGACAGAGGGACAGAGGGACAGAGGGACGGACAGACGGACTGACAGGCGCATCGAACCGGGAGGTGCGCGTTTCGTCGCGCCAGCACTAAAAATGTGCTGCAGCAGCAGCAGACATAGGGATGAGCGCGTGCTTGATATTCTGAGCACGAGCACTCATTCAATAGTTATATTTGTTTAATTTAATTTACTTTTTATGTAGATAGACATTTATTTAATAAAATCTATGAGTTGCCATCTTGTTTGGCACTGGTTTAAAAGTTCATAAATATTTGCATATTTTTAATTCATAAATTTGTTTACTTTATTGGATATTTTTATTTAACAACGATTCGCTTATCTAGATTTGAGATTGTGAATTCAAATCAATCCGGAACACAACGTGTTGGTTTAAGATGTGATTCTAATTTGTTAAAATATAAATATTTGCTGAATAATAATAAAATAAATATTTTTGAAAGCAGCTCTGTTGGTCAATAGAAAATGCTAATCATTAAGTCGTGCATGTTCGTGTCACGCAAGAATACACAGCACGCGACCTACACTAAGGCAGCGGCAAAAGTAACACACTGTTCAACTACATGTGCACATATCACGTTTATACGACGCATCGTGTAAACCAAATTACGTTAAATTCCCATTTAAAAAAAATTAAATTCGCCATGCTTTCGCTTTAAAATGCAGCGCAAGATGACATCATGATAACGGTCGGCGCATAAACGTAGTAACTGTGAGACGCCGCAAAAAAATACGAGCCATGCACAAAACAACAACACAAACGCAAACAACTGCGACGACGATTGACGGCGTCGGCGTCGGCGGCGACAGAAGCAGAAGCAGAAGCAAAAGCAGCAGCAACCCTCGAGATGACGTTGACCCCGAAAAATGACGCGAAGCGTAGTGTGTGAAAACGGCAGGCGAATGAGTATAAAAACAAAGTGAAATCTAATAACAAAATACTGCAAGTGCAAGCGAGAGAGATGCAGAAGAGGCAACTGACAAAATGCACGAGAGCGAGAACGAGAGACACGGTGTCGGCGTTTGCGGCGTATTAAGGATAGACGTGTAAAACGCAATGCGTATAAAAACATGCAGCCGACAGGACGACAACAAAACTCCGAAGCGAGCCGGAGTAAGGCGGCGGCCAAAATAGACAGAGAGATAGAGAGAGAGAGAGATGGCGAGAGAGGAGAGAAAGAGCGCGCGCGCACACACACAAGTCGTAGAGAGCGCAGAGAGACAGTGCCTGTGCATGAAAACGAAACGGTATGTGTATGCGTGTAAATGTTGTGATAAGGGCGGAAGCTACGCATGCAACAGCAGCACGAACAAAAACAATAACAAAAACAGAAACAGAAACAACAAAAGCGCCAGTACAGACAAATACACACATAAATAACGAAAATTGTTCACATGCAAGCCGCCAAATTTTGCAGAGTGGCGGCGCCGCCGCCGTCGACGTCGTCGTCGTCGACTGCAAAAAGCGCAACGCTTATGAATGAAGGCGCACGCCTGTCCCCTGCCAGGCATTTGTGTGTGAGTGTGTCTGTTTGTGCAAGACAGAGAGAGAGAGAGAGAGAGAGAGAGAGAGAGAGAGAGGGAGAGGGAGAGGGAGAGAGAACGCGCGCAAAATGGTGTCGTTGGCCCCTGTCTGGGGCGCTCTGTTGTAAAAATGTGGTACAGTGACTACCAAAAAATACTAGCAAGGCGTATAGTAAAAAGGCCAAAAGCAGAAGAGTGAGAACAGGATAAACGATGCATGCGCCATCATTGGTGGTGGTTGTAATAAAAATTACGAATGCGGTTTTAAGTAGTAACTGATGTGTGTGTGTGTGTGTGTGTGTGTGCTCGCGTGTTTGTGTGTGTGTGTAATAGTAGTATTTTATAGTGAGGCGCCTGGCCCGGCCACTGCCTGTGGCCTGGCACCAAAATGTAGCAGACCATTGCGAAAATGCCTAATGAGAAGCAGGCAGCAATAACAGCAGGATGGGGAGGGAGAGCGGGTCTAGACATGAATACATCAAAAGAAGCCGCCTAATTAAAAAGCCATTAAAAAGTTAAAGCCATCGCCTATGCACGCTAATCAAAACATAAATTTTGTACAACAGTAGAAAGAGAGAACGAGAGCGAGAGAGAGAGAGCTCCAAAAACAAGGCGAAAATTAATTACCTCAAGAAACAAACAAGAAAGCGGGCAAAAAAAAAAAAAAAAAAAAAAAAAAATGGGAGCAAAACATTAAAAACAACAACAAACTGCAGTCGCGGCGATGTCAACGTCGTCGCTCTGTTAGGAACAGCATGGAATTGTGGTCTAAAAATAAACTCCGTGTGCAACAATGTTGCAAAAGCCAAACAAAGCGCGACAGTCAGACACACACACACACACACACACACACACACGCACATAGATATGCATATGTATGCACACAGAGCACAGGAGTGAGAGCGACGCAGCAGCCCGCCCGCCCCGTCCGTCTGTCTAGCTGTCTCGCTGTCTGTTTGTCTGCCCAGTGCCGACGTCTCATTGTTTGGGGAGGGTTTGGAGCGACGACGGCGGCAGCGACGACGGCGGCGGCTAAAAGGAGCAGCCGCAAAAAATATAGAGTGCCGCGACTGGCGCGTGAAGCACGCAAACCGAAAACGGAGACGAGGAATAGGAAGCAAGCCAAGCCAAGAAGCAGAGACAACAACAACAACAACAACAACAACAACTGGCGAACGACGACAACGGCGGGGCCGACGTTCACTAATCGCTAAATTTACGAGTACAGTTAAAATGAAATCATAAAATGCCTTGCTCGCTGTTGTTGTTGTTGTGAGTTACTCAACATGCGTGTGCGTGTAAATACACACACACACACACACACACACATGCACATATATATGTATGTATATTTAGACTCATCTCAGTGATGCGTGTTCAGTTCTACGTGACAAAGTAGTGCAAAGGACGAGACAGAAATTTACATGCACTTAGAAGAACAAACGGCATTTTCTTAGTTTCTTAGTATTTACATATAAGAAAACAGTTTATGTGCATAAATAAATATATATAAAATAAATGCATTTACATATATGTGGAGAAATAACATTTAGTGATACGATTTGTATGGATTGTTTTTCTTGTTTATTATTTGAAGTCTGTCGGGCAAAGCTTTTAGTTTAATTACATACGAACTGCTCATAGTTAAAAAGTGATTGATTTTCTCTTAAATTTGTTTTACAGTTATTTCAATCAATTTCAGTGTTGTAAAACAAATTCAAACACTCACATGCTCTTCGGGGCTTGGGCTTTTTCCATTTCTATTAAGTACACATTTGTATGTTCTACAACAATAACGGTTACTTATGCCGAGATGCATTTAAGTTAATGTTAAGTGGCTAAGCAGAAAAATGATAAGGGCAGCGTGGTGGTGGGAGGGACGAGATGCATTTAAACATTCTTAAGTCAGAGTCTAGTTTCTAGTCAGATGAAGAATAGCCTTATTGCACACATACATACATTTTTTACATTTTTTGCTAATGTCAAGTATATTGCCTGTGGGTTTACAGCAAATTTGTAATATACTTTTATACCTAATTCTAGACCTTATTATTTGACCTTTGGAATGAAAACTTTGCGGCGCATAGATAAAGCATATCAAACCGAAGAGCTGTTTATTTAAAGAAGCGGCAGATTTGCCATTCGTATGACACTTGCTAATGGAATCGCAGAATGTTAAGTATGTAAATGTAACAAATGTTGAGCATAGTGAAATCAGGTAACATGAAAACTAATTTACTTATAAAATGGATATATATTTTCAGCATAAAACTTCGACTGACACTTGCTAATGGAATCGCAGAATGTTAACTATATATGTACGTAACGTCCTCCCTCCTCGACTGCTTACTGTATATAGTTTTGACCAAAGATTCTGTTTTTGGCTGTACTTTATACTTTTGGCTTTTTAATCTAGGGAATCGAAAAAAAAAAATGAGTAATACGATTTAAATCATTGAGAACATTTTCCAAAAACAAAAAATTCCTAATTAGGTCACTCAAAGGTCGTTCTAGAGAACAGGCAGGCGCAAGCAGCGAGTGAGTGGCGCAGCGCCAAACGGGCAGCGATTAGAAAGCTAAACAAATTCTAAAAAACTTATTAACTAACAACATTTCAATGCGAACGCGTCAATGCCGTCAGCAAATCCCAATTCTAAGCAATAGATATGCAACACTAAATACCCACGCACACGCACACGTATACACACACACACGCACACGCACACGCACACGCACAAGAGCGGGCATTGGGTTTATCTGCTAATGTTTATAAAAATTACTATAAATAGCAGCAAACGCAAAAACAGCGCCACCGTTAAATAGCCGCCCACCCAGCAGCAGCAGCAGCAGCAGCAACAGCAGCAACAGCAGCGGCAGCAGCGGCAGCGGCAGCGGCATTCGCACTAAATGCTCCAAGCGCCATACCCACACACACACACACACATATGTAAACATTCATTCATACACGTAGAGACAATAGGTAAGCACAACAAAAAAGTTGACCGACTGCAGCAAGCAGTGTGTGTTAGTGTGAGTAAGAGAGTAAGCGAGAAATGAGCACAATAATAGAAATGCAACCACGTGTATTGTTTATTGCACCAACACACGAACGCACACACGCACGGCCACACGCACACACGCACGCACACACGCACGCATGCACACCGGCTGCGGCTGCTTTATGAGCAACGTTACGTACATACGTGTGTACATATATATTTAAACGAACGTCAATACAAAACGGAATCTTTCAAAACAAGAAAAACAAATAACTGTGCAAAGCAAAATGTCGAAAATACATATACAAAGACAACACAGAGACAAGGGAGAGCAGAGCAGAAAAACAGAGAATATTAAAAGTGTCAAAAGAGTATAAAAGCAGTTGTTGTTGTTTTTGCTTCGTTAAGTTATTGTAACGGCACCATGGCACAGGATAAACGACAAATGTACGCAAAAAGCGTTATCAAGAAGAAAAACAGTATTAATTAGATAAATACCATATGTAGATCTCTCTCTCTCTCACTCTCTCTCTCTCTCTCTCTCTCTCTCTCTCTCTCTGTGTGTGTGTGGGTGTGTGTATGCTGTTTTTGTGCTTTTTATAAGAGTTGTTTATTATTTTGTTTTATTGGTTTTCGCAGTTTTTACAAGTGATTCATTCGCATCACACGCTCCGACTCCAACGCTCACAGGCCCCACTTATCAAGAGTCTAAGGTCCAAGTAAATAAACACACACACACACACACACACACACACAAAGAGATGTCTGTGTCGCCGCCTACGCATAAACACGAAATGCGTGTGTGCAGTACACAATCGTAATCACAATTATGATTTTCAAAATGCTCGTTTTTTTTTTTTAAGATGGCAACACTGGTTCAACTGGGCAGATACGTTAGTTAGACAGAGACAGCGCGAGCGTAAGGTGTGACAGGCCATCGGGCGGGCAGGGCAGACAGGCTGATGACGTGGTGTGCTGATGCTGAAAGGCAGGGGGGGAGGGTCGAATGGGGGGTACCACGCACATCTTGTGATCAATGTTTTTTTTTTTTTATAGAGGTTATCGTTTCTTCTTTTGGCAAATGCCACAACAAATTCTATATATGCACACACACACACACACACACACACACACGCACATTTTGATAATGAAGTCAACGACACATGCTTTTAGAGCTAAACCCTTGCATTAGGTTTTAATTAAATTTAATTTATTACCTTGTTTTTCTTTTAAACAATCTATAGCTAAAAACCTTCAACAATCCGACACAATATTACTCATGAATGTAACGCAGCACTTTAAGAAAATAACATTATTTTGTGAAACTGAAATTGTCTGACATTTAATTCAAAGTAAACGATTTACGTATTCACAATAGATTCGACTCAAAAGTGTTTCAATCGGACAACAATGATCTAATAGCTGCAAAAGAAAAGTAAGCTTTCCAGCACTGACGACCAAATACCCTTATTTATGTAACATATATATACATAAAAAATACATATGAGCATCTACATTTAAATTCTTTATATTCTCTATACGAAAGCATATGAGAGTGTTACCAATTTTGTTATAAAGTGATTATACACCCCCGAGAGAGGGCGTTTAAATGCCTAATCTAACGATTTGTACGAAAACATGTGTGAATGTATGTGCCGCAATATGGTTTGCCAAAAGGTGACACATACCCAGGTTTGGTCATAATTTCGCTAAAATGGAAACGATCAATTCAAGTGCTTCACAGAAGGGAGCTTTATCTCGCATACAAATAGATTATATATTCCCCGATTACTCGTTGGATCTCATAGAAAATATCCCATACATAGCTCAAATATGAGAAAGTGCGATTTGATGGTTCCGCGTATATATATATATATATTCGATTCTGTTCATGATTTTGCAAATCTTTAATTTGTATTTACTAGAATTTCTCATATTTTTATTATTCCCTGAGATGGATTACTAGAAATATTTAAGCATATTAAATTCATTTGCTTGAATAATTCGAATTTCTGAAAGTTCTCATTTGTCGGGCTAAATTAGTTTTTATTGTTTAGCGTTAGTCATGCTTTGATCAATGATGTAATATAGTTTTTTAGTAATATTTTTTATTCCTTTGTTGTTGTTTTATGTTTGTGTAGGTTTTCCAACGATCTTTTCTAACGCTATATACAAACTATGTATATATATATCTATGTATATATATATATATGTATATACCGGGAGACACACTCAACGTCTCTCGCTTGTTCTTGCCAAAAATTGGGGAATATTGAGTCATGTGTAAAATATGTTGTGCTACGATTCTGAGGACGTGACCCACACACGCAGCGCCCCTTGTTCCTGAATACAAGGCAGCGTTGACCTCAATTCAAATAGTATAAAAAACAAGCTTCACACACACACACACACACACACACACACTGACATTTGTCAACATAACGAACAATAAAAGTAGCAAAGCTTTTAGCAACAACAACAACAACAACAACAACAACCTAAATTGCGTAATTGATACCATTTTTGGTGTGTGCGTTTTCTGCGCGCCTCAAAAGAGAATTGTCAACAAAAGCATAGCACAAAAAAAAAAATAAAATAAATTTGAAACTGATGCGTGTGTGTGTGTGTTTGTGTGTGTGAGCTTTGGAGCTTAAATATGTGCTTTAGAAAACGCGCCTAAGTTCAAGGCCAAGCAGCCGCAGTGTGTAGCATAAGCAGCAACAACAACAACAACAGCTAAAATAACAGCAGCGACAGCAAACGCAGCAAAAAAAAAACGAAGAAGAAAAAAAGCCAAAAACAAAAAGTGCAAATAACAGCAGCGGCAACAACAACAACAATAAAATGTGCTTTTACCGTCACAGCGAAAAGGGTCAATGACACCTGCCAGTTTGTCTCGCTCAACTAACACACACACACACACACATGGTCATCAGCTCATTTCGCTCTCTTTTTTCCCTCTTCTTCTTGTTATTGTTGTGCATGCACACGCGCGCCGTTTAGACATGTGGTCAACGTATTTTTGTGTGCTGTTGTTGTTATTATTGCTCTTCGTACCGCTAATTAGTGTGGCCAAATTATGCACCAACATTTCCAGAGAGTTGCCACCTTATATGATATGTGAATGTGTGCGTATATTGGTGTGCCCGTCATACACACGTCATAAAAACTAGCGATCGGTTATCGCTGACGTCGCTGCCAACGTCGCATAAACAATTTCCGGTTTTGCTATATACAAAACTTGGCTAGTCCCTGTTGTTTTTCAACAATTTTGTTTTTGCGGCAACTTATTTTTGTCACACACACGGACACACACACACACACACACACACAGAGGCAAACTCGATTTAAAAATAAATAAATTACACAGAAAACAAACGCACAAACACACGCAAGCACGCACACACAGAATCAGTGAGAATACACATACATATACGCATGTTCAACTTTTCGGCAACATTCCTTACGCTCCGCCATCAAAAATATATTATGATTAATACAACGGCATTTTAATGTTATTTCTTAATATACATACATACATATGTATTGCAAGAAGAACATATCAACACATACACGCACAGTAAGTGGCAACATCATGTGTGCGAACGAGAACGACTGCACAGCGGTATGCCAATTACTGCTACGCTTTTTAATTAGCAAACACCTCCGCCATCTCCTTTGCTACTACTTTTACTACTACTCTTATTCCATATTATTTCTTTGCAATTGTCTTGTTCTTCATGTTGACATATTCCCATTGTTGTTGTTATTGTCGTTTTCGCGCTTCCTTCACACTTTTGCTTTTCTTGCCGTACTCACTCTCACACACAAATTGAGCTAGCGAGAGCGCGCACAGAGAGCACAACAAAACAGCGCTGAGAGCGCCATCTATGCCAGAGATGCCGGAACGTAGTTTTGTTTTGCTATTTTGCTCACACACACACACACACGCGCGCGCACACACGCACACGTACACTATAGAACACTGCTCTGCTGCTCATTCACAAAACGAGACAAAGTCGGCGGCGGTGGCGGCGATAAAGACGAAACAGAAGATATGATAGATATGAAACAACAACAACAACAACAGTGCCGCATAAATTTCTGCTGCGTAGTAATTTTTCGAGTATATTTGTATGTATACAGACACATAGGCACATCATGTATTTACCTTTTTTGCATTCTTGTTAAACATTTTCGTTTGTTTATGTTGCACTTTGCACACGCACACACACATTCACACGCCAGCAAATATACATGCACATTAATGCATATGTATGACAACATTCGTAGGTATATTTGTTTGTATGTAGAACGAGGCCCACTTTTTGTGTATTTTTATTTTCGTATCGATTTCAAAATAAAACGACGCACTTTCCTAGTTGCAGCCCTAAATTCACTTCTTTTTTTTTTTCTTCTCGTTTTATTCGCGGGCTTTCTTTTTGCGCCGCAACTTCACAACATTCTGCTGCTGCTTCTGGTGCCGCAGCTCACTTTGTGTATACAATTTTATTCATTTATTTTGCCGCTTGTGAATTTTATTTTGCACCTCGCGCGCAGACCCACACACAAACACACACACACACACGCGCGCGCAAACAGGCACTCGCATGTACATTTGTATGTATAAATTGATGTACATGTGTCGGCACACGCACTTGTGATTTCTTGGAATCTACTCACTTCTGTAGTTGCCTTAGCTTTTGATTGATTTCTTTTATGATTTCGTTATACTTAAAAGATGTACATTGGTATGTACATGCATGCATTTATGTTAAACTATTTGGTAAAACGATATTTTTTCGCAGCAACAAACAAATAAGCGTCCGCGAAACCGACCACGACGTCCGTACGCTTCAAATGCCAAAATACGAATGAGCGGCACAACAAAATTGATGAAATTCAGCAAGCTGAGAGTGTGAGAGAGACTGAAAGAGAGAGAGAGAGCGAGAGTGCCAGAGAGAGAGAGCGACGGCTTACTCTCTGAACAATAATACTACCGGAAAAGAAACTATACTCCGTATGTTTTTCGGAGCTACGTACTGTCTGACCGAACTTTTGATGACTATTTAATATATTTAAATAACAATTTGTTTTAAACTAATAGGTAGACATTAAATGAAATTGTCAAATAAATTTATTGTAAGGAGACAAAATAATTGAAATGTGTTGGTGAAATTTTTAAAATAAATTAAATTGCGCGCTCCTTTTGATGAATTTCTGTTCATTTAAGAGAGCCCAACAGATCGGTTTTAACAGTGTAAGAGAGATCTTTGCAGTGATACGTTCAGTGAGTAAATGTAATAACGAGTGTAAGTGATATATTTAGTTTAAAACTAAGAGATGCGCTAATCGATAATACGTGAACGCATTTAAGAGAATTTATATCTAATAAATATGGAAATAAATCAAAATGTTTGGAAACAGTGTGTACATGCTAATTTTCGTTGCAGGGAATTCAGTATATTTACGGTATATTTTAGCTATGGAAAACAGTATTCTTCTACTTACAAGATTCGGTCACGCTGTCATGAACACATACGGTTTGTAGCTGAAAATAACAATAAATTTTAATTAATTTGCTTACCACAAAACGAATATCACCCAACATAATTAAGCAGCGACAGAGAGTTTCATAGTTGAATTACGTTTTAAGTGCTACTCAATTCCGTTTGTGTTTGTATGCGCTTTTTCCTTTTTTTATATATATTTATACCCATCCGACACACACACACACACGCAAACAGACACACAAATGAGAATTGTGTAGATTTTTATGTGTAATTTATGATTTTTGTGTTATGTACGATTTTGAAGCACACGAGAAATCACACCCAAGCACAACAAACAAACAACAACACCCGAAGAATTAGCAAACAAACAAACTGAAAAAACGCAAAAACAACGAAACCCTTTCCACAACAGCTAGAAAAATGGCCAAAATGTACGGAAAGGGTAAGAGTAAGTAAACCCAACAAAAACCAAAAAAAAAAAAAATTTAAACACATTTTGCATTCGACATTTCATTGTTTTCTATAAATATTCACATGCTTTTAGTTAGTACGAAATTAACAGCCATTTTAGTGACAACTAACCCAAAACAAAGCTTATTTCAATTTCAAATGCAAGCTCTAAACATGTTTTATATTTTGTTTAGCGGCCATCGAATCGGAGGAACAACAAAAACGACGCTGGCAAATCGAACTGGAGTTTGTGCAGTGCCTCTCCAATCCCAACTATCTCAACTGTAAGTCTCTTTATACCCTAGCTAGAATAACGAAAATCTTATTATCAGGCAGAACATGATCTTGATATGGCCATTTCCAGGGTAAGCTGCGCATCGGAATCGAACAGATCTGTCCATGTCGAACACTTCGAGCTTGGATACCTTTCGGGCGATATGCTCATTTTCTCATCGACACAAATCGATGTTAGGCATTGTTTTTATAGCTTTTATTGTAAGAAGTTTAACGCACAGATGCAGACATCTTCAAATATTGTCATCGAAGAAATGTTCTTCCAACCTTAATCCATCATCCTGTAGGAGTATTCCTTCTTCGGCGTGTCGCAATTAACTGTTCTTAAATGTTTCTGGTGCGCATTGAAGTGCTATCAAAGCTTGTGCCTGACTTCCCGAATTGGCCATATTTAGCTATATGCGTAGCTCTTTTTGCTTGCTTATTACTCAAATAGGTTTTGTTTGCTTTGCAGTTCTCGCACAGCGCGGTTACTTTAAGGATCCGTCGTTTATCAACTACCTCAAGTATCTGCAGTACTGGAAAGAGCCCGACTATGCCAAGTATTTGATGTATCCCATGTGCCTATACTTTCTCGATCTGCTGCAATACGAGCACTTTCGACGCGAAATCGTTAACAATCAATGCTGCAAATTTATCGATGATCAGGCCATACTACAGTGGCAGCATTATACGCGCAAGCGCATCAAACTCATCAACTCCGTGCAGGAGAATGCTGCAGCAGCAGCAGCAGCAGCGGCAGCAGCAGCTGCACAACAGCAACAACAGCAGCAGCAACAGCAACAAAGCAATGGCGGCAGCGGCATCTTGGCGCCCAGCGAAGCAGCCACTGTCGCGGGCATCGAGGCGGCCAATCCGCAGCAGCAGGCGACGCTGCAGAATGGCAACAGCTCTGCCGCGTCGACGACACAGTCACAGCAACAGGCGCGGGAGCCAGCGCCAACTCAGACTCAGGTGTTGTCCGTGTCGCAGCAGCCACAGCAGCAGCAGCAGCAACAGCAGCAACAGCAGCAGCAGCAACAGCAACAACAACAAATGAATGGACTGGCCGCTAGTGGAGCTATGAAACTAGAATTAAATTAGCAAAGTGCTATGCAAGAAAGAAAAACCATAATAAATTAGACTAAGAGACAGAACACAGAAAGAACTTCTAGACCAAATAACAAGCAACAGCAAACAAAAGCGATTAATAGTTTGTGTAGGCAAACATTCGATTCAAGAGCAAGCTCTGAGATACTTTTGATTTCCTGTTTATATAAAAAAGTGGTCTTTCAGAAATGAACAGAGACCCGTTTGAATGTTTTTACCCTTGCAGAGGCATCTCTGAGCCCGTAGACAGTCTGTCTCCAAAGTCGAAATCTTACAAGCAATCGAAATACTATGTCGTGTAGCTTCTAGAGGAACAATCAGATGAAGCCGGATGCTCCATGATCGATTGCACAAACATTGAACTGAGAACCGACTACGGGGAATTGCCTTTGGATGACATGCTGTCTTCTAGCTGGAGCGATGCGGACCGTTCGATTTGTAGAGTAGACATTTGAAGATATATATGAAATCGGAATCTGTTGGCAAATATCATGTGATAAACTCTTGTCGCTGCCTTTGAATGTTGGTTGAGTAGCAGATGAACTTGTTTATAATTAAAACTATAACTTTCAGGCTCCAGCGAGGTTCTGGTCCAGAAGGGCCACTTCTATGGCGTGTATCTGCTGTGCAGCCAGAGTCCGGATGCACGATATCGTGGCAAGTGCTATGTGGGCTTTACGGTGAATCCCAAGCGCAGGATTAAGCAGCACAATCGTGGCTGTGACTTTGGCGGCGCCAGGAAGACCAGCAAAAAGGGACCCTGGCAAATGGTGTTGATTGTCCATGGATTTCCCAACAATATTGTCGCGCTACAGTTCGAATGGGCGTGGCAACAGCCGATGCTATCAACGCGCCTTAAAATGTATCCCGAATTGAAGCGTAAATTGCACCGGGAATCGCATTTTGATTATAATTTTCGTATACTCAATCGAATGCTAGGCGTGGGACCCTGGCATCGATTGCCGCTAACAATACGCTGGCTGGAGGCAGACTATGAGCGGGCATTTGTGCTGCCGCTGCCACCGCACATGCTCATCGTTAGCGGCAAGGTGGCCCTAACCACCTCACAGAATCGCTTGGATGTGAATGCCACGGAGCGAGCTGCAGTCGTCTGGGCGTCAGAGTGCCATCTGTGCATGCAGCCCATTCAGCAGCCGGAGCGTTCGCGCTTGGGCTGCTTGAATGCCAAATGCCGCTTGACCTGCCACATGCTGTGCCTGGCCAACTACATGCTAAGCGATCAGCCCGGACACTATATACCTGTTGGCGGCGTGTGTCCGCTGTGTGACACACAGCTCAGTTGGGCGGCGCTGTTGCAGCGCCAGAGACTCAGCCAGGGCAGGCAGGAGCAGGCGGACAACGACGATGATGATGATGAGGATGAGGATGATGAGGAGCCCGACGTGGACAGCGATGTGCCCGAGCTGGACAGCGATGTGGAGCAGGCAGCACAAGATGCCATCTGTGAGCTAAGTGATTGAAACTCGAATTTGAAACTAGGCTTTTAAGAAATATAATATGGTTAAATCGTCTCATATATCCTTAAGCGGCATTAATTCCATTTTAATATTGGCCAGCGTCCGTTTGTAGGTGCGCAGCTGTTCCAGCAATTGGCGTTTCTCTTGCAGATAGTATTCCCGGGACATTTGCACATATTGCTCCCCCTTGAACTTGAATATGGATACCTCGGAGTCGTCTATAAGCTGATCATCCTCTGCCGCCGGCTCCTCCTCATCCAGCTCCAGCGTGGGCGGACGTGCGCGTTTGCGGGCGGGCGGCACAATGCTCAATTCAACTAAGTTTTTAAGTAAAACAGAAAAAAAAAAACATAGTTACAAATGTGTATTCAATAATATTCCACTTACTTTTGTCGAACAGATCTGTTTCTGCATTCCCCTTGGTCTGTGAAGGTGTTGTCGTTGACTCGACCATAACAAGTTTGTCAATGCTTAAATCGTCCTCGTCCATGTTGATATAAAAGCTTTGCTGCGAAGATGAGCATGTCGTCGATATACTCTCTTTGAGGTTGTCATCTTCCATTTGGTTTTTCTTAGCACCCGGATTGATGCAATAGCTTTGCTGTGCCGTCGAAGATGATGTGGCTGTCATTTGTTCGGGATTCTCCTCGGGTGTTCTTCTTTCGCTGTAGGGAAACGGCAGAGCTTCGCCGAGCAATATGCGACGATTCTTGTTCAAAGATAGATATTTGGCATCAAAATGTATGGAGCACATATATAGTTGTTTGGGACCAATTTTTGGATGCACTTGACCCAGCACACGCCACTGTTCGGCGCGCTTCGTATCCTTGGGGAATGCAAAAAGTGTCACGTCGCCGCAGCCGCTGTTATCCTGCCGATAATAAAAATTATGGCAGTCCTTGTAGGCGCAAAGCCGCGTGCTCATTTTCTGGATTTCTGTTTCTTTGTAAGTTGTCAGTTATTTTCATTTGCTTTTTTTTGTTGTTTACCTTGAGTTCTTGATTGTTTTGATGGGGCTTCCTTTTTGTTGAGTTTGTAAACAACAAACTTTGATGTTTGTTTGTTAAACAACACTAATTTCTGTTTACAGTGCGTAAAGCAGCGAAAATAACATTGAACTGTAATACATTTGGAGAGAAACGTCTGTTAATTTTGAATTAATAAAAGTGAAATTGATTTTTGCATAAATAAAACAATGCAATAACAATAACTTTCAGCATTGGCATATAACTCCAAATTAAACTTGATTTTTTTTTAATTTATACATTTCTTACTTAAGAATGGATAAATATCAATCTTTACTTTTCTTATTCAATAACTTTTAACAACTCTGTTGTTGTGGCCACACTTTTTGCGCGCCAAAAACTATCGATAGTAGCGCATTGTCAAGCGTGCCGCTTGACGCCAGTATTGACACAGCTCTGCATATCTTGCTTGGAAAAATTCCTAATAAAATAATTCTTTAATTTATATCTGTTCAAAATTTCAAATAACTTTAATAAACGATTTTTATATGCCGCAACCTATGTGATAAGGATAAAGTGTATTTCTAGTGTTTGCAGCAATAATATACACCCACTATAAAAAAACTTTGGAATTTTGGCAACCCGGCATCGCGTTTTCTATTGTTCTGCTCTTTTTTTAAGCGGCTTCGTCGCGTGAAGATTGTGAAAATTGTGTGTTTTCCATATCGTGTTTAACCGTGTGAAAACTACAAATAAAAATGGCTGCAGACCAGGCACAGTTTCAACAGCTCCTGAGCTCCTTGCTCTCCATGGACAATGAAGTTCGCAAACAGGCCGAGGTGAGTCCTACTAGAAACAGGGGCCGAAAATGGCAAATTTCGCCAGACAACTGCGCAATATTAAAATGTGGCTGCATCTAGTATAATGCCATAATTCGGCTACCCACCCAGACAGTTGCAATGCTTTATCTATCAAACGTAATTAATAGAAACATTTAGTATAAGATTCCCTGAATCATAATCATCGTGCATTCTATCTCAAAGCGCACAAAACGTGTTTTTGCTTTCCTTTTCGCTACGACATTCGCATGTTTGCGTGTGTGTGTGTGCAACTGCTGACTGTATGTGTGTGTGCGTGCGTGTGCTTCGTACAAAGCGGAAAGACAATTTGTACAATTCGTATGGAGCTATAATATATAATATGTATATATATTTTTTTTTTTGGGCTGACAGCGCCTTAAAATGAAATTCACACACAAGCACGCACAATTGTTACACGCTTGCAAAACGGAAACAAAGCGCAGGTGCAAAAATGTTTATTATTGCTTACGATGACGCATTGTCTGAAATGCAATCTGTTTTATTTGTAGAATTATTAAATGGCCCGATTGAGCCGACAGTCCACACGCATTTCAGCTGTTGACCTTGGCGCCGCCCACGCCACGCGCTGCCTTGTACTGCAACTGTTAGTCTATACACACACACACACACACCCACACACATACGCACGACATATACAGTCGATGTAATTTGACTTTTCTAACAGGCACGAAGCCTAAAAACTGCACAGCTAGAAATTGGGGTTTGCATTGCTGGCTGGATTCGTTTTGGAAACCAACATATCAGAAATCCCTCAATAATATCAACTGCCTGCCCATTATATTATGTTTAAGTACTTGTAAAGTTTCGATTTTCCACAAATGAAAACATTCTAATCTTAAGGCAGAAGAGAGATAAATAAGGTGGCAACACTCTGGTTACAATCATCGGCGTGTGTTAATTGCAATCAATGTTAAATAACATTTTATGCTAAGGAATTCGGGTATAATATATTTCAAATTTTAAATTCCTCTGTTAATACACCAAAGGAACTAAAAGGAAGAGAGAGAGAGAGAGAGAGAGAGAGAGAGAGAGAGTGGGTAAAGAGAGACTCTTTTAATGTGACAACTCTAAGAGAAAATCGAAATTTTGATATTCAAGCTATGTTAATTAACATTCTATGCTTAAAAAATCTGAATTTTAATTTTAAAATTCAAAATGAGCCTGTTAACAAATATGTTGCTCAACAATGTCTTGATCCGTCTATATCTTTATCTGATCCCAAGGAAACGTATAACAATCTGTCGCGAGAGGTAAAGGTAACACACCTGTTGGGCAACATTCACAATGGCCAACAATCGGAGGAGGCGCGCCAAATGGCCGCCGTGTTGCTGCGTCGCCTCTTCACATCCGAGTTTATGGAATTCTACAAGGAGGTAAAACGAATAAAATTGCGCCTTTCAATTTGATCAGTTTGTTAAAATCGGGCGATCTTGATCCATTGCAGCTGCCCGTTGACTCGAAAAATCAGCTGCTGCAGCAGATCCTGATGGCCGTGCAACAGGATGTGACGCCGCAATTGCGACGCAAAATCTGCGAGGTAATTGCCGAGGTGGCGCGCAATCTGATCGATGAGGACGGCAACAATCAGTGGCCGGACATTCTGCAGTTTCTGTTCCAATGCGCCAATTCACCAACGCCGCAGCTGCAGGAGTCGGCATTGCGAATCTTCAGCAGCGTACCATCGATCTTTGGCAATCAGGAGACGCAGTATATTGAGCTGATCAAACAGATGCTGGCCAAGAGCATGGAGAACACCGATGCTGAAGTGCGCGTACAGGCGGTGCGCGCCATTGGCGCCTTTATACTCTACCACGACAAGGAGAAGGAGGTGACCATATACAAGCATTTTGCGGATCTTCTGCCGCGCATGATTGTCATCACGGGCGAAACGATTGAGGGCCAGGACGATCAAAGTTTGCTCAAGCTGCTCATCGATATGACCGAGAACTGCCCGACGTACTTGCGGCCCCAGGTGGAGTACATTTTCGAGATGTGCATGAAGGTGTTCAGCTCACAGGACTTTGAGGATAGCTGGCGTCATCTGGTTCTTGAGGTTATGGTCTCTTTGGCGGAAAATGCGCCCGCCATGGTGCGCAAGCGTGCAGAGAAATATATAATTGCGCTCATTCCGCTCGTTTTGCAAATGATGACCGATCTGGATGAGGACGAGGATTGGGCGACGGCCGATGTCATCAATGAGGATGATCACAGCGACAACAATGTAATTGCCGAATCTTCCCTGGATCGCTTGGCCTGCGGACTGGGCGGCAAAACGGTCTTACCCCATGTCATGAACGCCCTGCCAGGCATGCTGAACCATACGGACTGGAAGCATCGCTTTGCCGCTCTAATGGCCATCTCGGCCATCGGCGAGGGCTGTCACAAGCAAATGGAGGCCATACTTGATCAGGTCATGTCCGGTGTGCTCAACTATCTGCGCGATCCCAATCCACGCGTACGTTACGCCGCCTGCAATGCAATTGGTCAAATGTCCACGGACTTTGCGCCCACATTCGAGAAGAAGTTCCATGAACAGGTGAATGCTGCTGAAACCGCTGGGCAATGTCTTGAATATACTCTAAAACATATTTTCCCAACATACAGGTGGTGCCTGGCTTGCTGCTGCTGCTAGATGATGAGCAAAATCCGCGTGTGCAGGCGCACGCCGGCGCTGCTTTGGTCAATTTCAGTGAGGACTGCCCCAAGAATATATTGACACGCTATTTGGATGCAATCATGGCCAAGCTGGAGACCATTCTCAATTCCAAGTTCAAGGAGCTAGTCGAGAAGGGCAACAAGCTGGTGTTGGAGCAGGTGGTCACCACGATTGCCTCCGTCGCAGATACGTGCGAGCATGAGTTTGTCGCCTACTACGACCGCCTGATGCCCTGCCTCAAGTTCATCATACAGAATGCCAACTCGGAGGATTTGCGCATGCTGCGCGGCAAGACGATTGAGTGCGTGAGTCTGATCGGCCTGGCCGTGGGTCGTGAGAAATTCATTAACGATGCCGGTGAGGTAATGGACATGCTGTTGAAAACCCATACCGAGGGCGATCTGCCCGATGATGATCCGCAGACATCGTATCTGATAACCGCATGGGCGCGCATGTGCAAGATTTTGGGCAAGCAATTCGAGCAGTATTTGCCGCTGGTTATGGGTCCAGTTATGCGCACCGCTGCCATGAAGCCCGAGGTGGCGCTGCTGGACAACGATGAGGTCGAGGACATTGAGGGCGATGTCGAATGGTCGTTCATTACACTGGGCGAACAGCAGAACTTTGCCATACGCACCGCAGGCATGGAGGACAAGGCATCCGCCTGTGAAATGCTCGTGTGCTATGCACGCGAACTGAAGGAGGGCTTCGCCGAATACGCCGAGGAGGTGGTGCGTCTAATGTTGCCGCTGCTCAAGTTTTACTTCCATGATGGGGTGCGCTCGGCTGCCGCCGAATCGTTGCCATATTTGCTCGACTGCGCCAAGATCAAGGGTCCGAACTATTTGGAGGGCATGTGGCTCTACATTTGCCCCGAACTGATCAAGGTTATCAATACCGAACCGGAGCCGGATGTTCAGTCCGAGCTGCTCAATTCGCTGGCCAAATGTATTGAGACCCTGGGACCCAATTGCCTTAACGAGGAGGCCATGAAGCAGGTGCTCGAGATAATCAACAAGTATGTGCTGGAGCATTTCGAGCGGGCCGACAAGCGTCTGGCTGCCCGCACGGAGGAGGATTACGATGACGGCGTTGAGGAAGAGCTGGCCGAACAGGATGATACTGATATATATATACTGTCAAAGGTGGTGGACATCATACACGCACTCTTCCTAACCAACAAGGCGCAATTTTTGCCCGCCTTCGATCAGGTGGCACCGCACTTTGTCAAACTGTTGGATCCCAATCGTCCATTTGCCGATCGCCAGTGGGGCGTTTGCGTATTCGATGATTTAATCGGTGGGTTATCCATATCAATTACTACACACTGCTACTTAGCTTATGCTTATTCGCCTTTTAAATCCGTCCTTTAGAATTCTGTGGTCCCGCTTGTACGCCGTATCAGCAAATCTTTACGCCTGCACTGCTGCAGTATGTGCTGGACAAGTCGCCGGATGTGCGCCAGGCTGCTGCCTACGGCTGTGGGGTTTTGGGCCAGTTTGCTGGCGATCAGTTTGCCCATACATGCGCTCAGATCATTCCGCTGCTGGTGCAGGTCATCAACGATCCGAGGGCACGCGAAATTGAGAACATAAATGCGACGGAGAATGCAATTTCGGCATTTGCCAAAATACTTAAATACAACAAGTCGGCATTAACCAATCTGGATGAGCTAATTAGCGTTTGGTTCTCATGGCTGCCCACCTCCGAAGATCCCGAAGAAGCCGCCCACATCTATGGCTATCTGTGCGATCTGATTGAGGCCAATCATCCAGCGATTTTGGGCGCCAACAATTGTAATCTGCCACGCATCGTTTCCATCATCGCGGACACGTTCTGCACAAATGTCTTGGAGGCAAAGAGTGCACCCGGTACCCGCATGCTAACCATTGTCAAGCAGATTGAGTCCAACCCAGACGTCATGCAGGCCTGCGCGAGCATATTAAGTCCGGAGCAGCAGCAGGCATTGCAGGACGCCTATCGGGAGCTGGCCGCTGCGCCGTCTACCTAAACCTAGGGGCTTCCTCCATTTACCAGCTCTTTCAGCAGCTCCAGCACGTCTCTACGCATGAGAAAATGTAATCAAACACAAAAAAAAAAAAAAAAACAAACTGTAGGATTCACATACATACTTAAATTCAGACAATGAAAATGTAAGCTGAAAAGTATAGAAAAAGCCGAAAAGCTTTCTTTCCGTTATCGTCACATTTTTGTGAGCAAAATTCGCAAATGCGTTATAATTACGTTAAAAACAAATTATATATATACATCAATTATATATACAAAATGAGATGTATGTGCTTATTCTATATATACATTACTATATATAATATACATTGTGATTTCAATCGAAACTCGTCTCCCGTTCCCGCAAGGGAACGCCTTTGGAAGGAAAACCAAGCAAAAGTCTGCATCTCGTTAGAATTTGACATGTTGAATTGCAAATTGTTCATCAAATTCCAGTAGATTATTTTCGTTATACAAATTGAAAACGTTCTCATATGTTATATAAATATATATGTCGTGTATCCAATAAATTATTGTGAGTATTATTTTGAATGCTAACGATTAAGTGTTAGTAAGAATCAGAGAATTTGACAGAAGGTACTGCTATTTAACATAACTGTCCTACTTGTATTAGGGTTGCTACTGAAAGCATGGTGTGAGACAAAAAAGATAGTCTCTGCCGAGCATGGCCCGAGTGTGTTGTATAACGTCCAGTTTGCTATAGTGTTGAATGTTCACTAACAGTACTAAAAGTCAGAGAAGAATATAGAATGACAAGAGCATGAGTAGTATGCTCGAGGACGATGAAAATTATTCATTTCTAAAAGTGGAAGTCATAGAGAACAGACGTGCTCGCTCCTAAAAATATAATTATTTTGTGACTATAACGACACTCGGGACTTGCTGTGCTGCCAGTATGCCTAATTGCAAAGAAAGTGATTTCTCTGTTCCGACATCAGAAGTGGGATTAGGCGATGCCCCTCCACGAGGCAATTCTGACGATTCGTGGCGTCAGCTTTTGGAATCTCAAAATCGAAATATTCTTGAGATTATTAAAGCAATGCAGATGTCAAATTCAGCATCCTCAACAAAGAAGAGCATCTCGTTGCCAAAGTTCAACCCGGACGTTGCAGGCGCAGATGCAAATGCCTGGTGCAAAACTGTGGACATAATACTTGACGATAATCCTATTGAGGGCAGTACACTGGTGATGACCCTCAGCGGCTCCCTAGAAGGAAGCGCCTCGCCCTGGCTTTCTCAAATATGCTATACTGGAATGAACTGGCAAAATTTTAAGGAATTGTTTTTGCAACGTTTCGTGGGAATGGAAACATCGGCGGCAACTTTAATGAACATTTTTAATGGCCGACCGAATGATGGCGAATGCCTCTCCGTATATGCGAGCCGTCTTGTGACGTCACTTTTATCCAAATGGAAGACAGCGAACATGGAGGAAATTGCAGTCTCAGTTGTTTTGGCACATACATCGAAAATCGACAAAAGTCTGCAACGTATGTTATATACGACTAATATTAAAAGTCAAGACGAGATGCAACAGCATCTGAAGGCCTATGCTTATGGAAGGTCAAATGGAGGTCTACAGCCAAATATCCCAATGGAACCAGATCGCAAGAGATCGAAAACATATGGCATTAAATGTCATCATTGTGGAAACCTCGGACACAAAATGGTCGAATGTCGCAAGAGGAAGTATGAAGAAGGCAACGTGTCAAAAAACTCAGCATTACCTAAAGTTCGATCTGCCGTTACCTGCTTCAAATGTGGCGATGCTGGCCACATTGCGTCTTCATGTACGAAAGGAGTTTCTACGAGCGGTGTTGGATCACATGACAAGCGTATAAACATCTGTTGTGTGTCCGAGCCAAAAGGAATCCTGCGTCAATCTGGTGAGCTCGTTCCATTTTGTTTTGACTCTGGAGCGGAATGTACGCTCATCAGAGAGAGTTGTGCCGAGAAATTTTCCGGAAAAAGAATTAATAATTTGATAGTTTTGAGGGGTATTGGAGAAAATCCTGTGTATAGCACTATGCAAATCTTGGCTACTGTTAAAATTGATCAGTACTCCTTAGAAATATTATTTCATGTAATAATGGATAAGTTTTTAAAATACGATGTATTGATAGGCCGTGATATACTCGGATTAGGCTTTGGAGTCTCCATCGAGGCCGACAAATTTGAAATGTACAAAACCAAAACTATTGATGTACTAATAAAAGTGCCAGATATAAGTTACGTAGAGCATCTGAATAACGATAGAGCATTAAGCAACACTGATAAGAATCGTCTGCTAGAATTATTGCAAAACTATGCTGATAAATTTATTGAGGGTATTCCTCAAACGCGAGTGACTACGGGTGAACTTGAAATCCGCCTGCTTGACCCAAATAAAACTGTACAAAGGCGTCCGTATAGGTTAAGCATAGAAGAAAAAGAAGTCGTGCGAAATAAAGTAAAAGAATTGTTAGACGCAAACGTTATACGTCCTAGTTGCTCTCCATTTGCAAGCCCAATGCTGATGGTAAGAAAGAAAAATGGAACCGATCGACTATGTGTCGATTATCGGGAACTGAATGCTAATACGGTCGCTGACAAATATCCGCTGCCTTTGATTTCTGATCAAATTAATAGACTGAGTGAAGGCAAATATTTCTCCAGTTTAGACATGGCAAGTGGTTTTTACCAAGTTCCAATACACCCAGACTCTATCGAGCGCACTGCTTTTGTCACGCCAGAAGGACAGTATGAATTTTTGGCCATGCCTTTTGGATTAAAAAATGCTTCCTCGATTTTCCAGCGAGCAATCGTGAGAGCATTGGGTGATTTGGCTCAAACGTATGCCATCGTCTATATAGATGACGTGTTAATTCTAGCGAAGACAAAGGAAGAGGCACTTGAAAGGCTACAAACGGTCTTGGAAAACTTGTCTAGAGCTGGATTCTCATTTAACATTACAAAATGCTCGTTCTTGAAAACAAGCATAGAATATTTAGGATACTTGGTTGAAGCGGGTCAAATTCGACCAAATCCACGCAAGATACAAGCGTTGGCCGAATTGCCGTCACCGCAGTCAGTAACGCAGGTGCGACAATTCATAGGCCTAGCCTCGTATTTTAGGCAATTCGTACCAAAATTTTCTGAGCAGATGAAAGCTTTATATAATCTCACCTCCAAGAATAATAAATTTGTCTGGAAGCCGGAATATGAGGAAATTCGTCAAAAAATCGTATCAATTTTGACTAATGACTCCGTTTTGACAATTTTCGATCCACTAAAGCCAATTGAATTACATACAGACGCAAGTTCTATTGGATATGGTGCTATTTTAATGCACAAGATAGAAAATAGACCCAGAGTCATTGAATATTACAGCAAATGTACGACAATGGCTGAAGCAAAATATCATTCATACGAGCTTGAGACCCTCGCAGTTTACAACGCAGTAAGACACTTCCGCCATTATTTACATGGTCAAAAATTTATTGTGCATACAGATTGCAACTCCCTGAAAGCAAGTATCAAAAAAATTAACCTTACCCCAAGGGTACATAGATGGTGGGCATATCTGCAATCATTTGATTTCAGCATTGAATACAGGAAGGGAGAACGCATGTTACATGCTGATTTTTTCTCGCGCAATCCGTTGCCTACTGATTATAAATCCTCAGCGAAAACGGTTGAAATGCACATAAACCTAGCTGAGATAACCGACGATTGGCTTCTAGCCGAACAGCAACGAGATTCTGACATTGCTTCCATAACCTTAAAATTGCGAAACCATAAGATGGGAGAAGCTATCTCAGCGTCGTACGAATTGAGAGCAGGAGTATTATATCGAAGGATTCAAAGAAATGGCAGCACAAAATGTTTGCCTGTAATACCTAGAGCCTTTAGATGGTCAGTCATTAACAATGTTCACGAAGCCATAATGCATTTAGGGTGGAAGAAAACTCTAGACAAAATGTATGCCAACTACTGGTTCGAGAGGATGTCTAAGTATGTGAAAAAGTTTGTAGAAAATTGCATTACCTGTAGAGTGTCAAAACCACCATCTGGTAAGCCACAAATAGAAATGCACCCGATTCCTAAAGATGACATACCCTGGCACACTGTGCATATTGATATAACCGGAAAATTAAGTGGCAAAAACGACTTAAAAGAGTACATCATAGTTCAAGTTGATGCATTCACAAAATTTGTTCACCTTCAACATACGCTGAACCTTAATACGGAAAACTGCATTAAGGCAGTCAAAGAAACTGTTGCACTATTCGGAGTGCCGGCACGCATCATAGCTGATCAGGGTAGATGTTTTGCTAGCACAAGGTTTAGGGAATTTTGTTCTTCGCAGAAGATAGGTTTACACCTGATTGCGACGGGCGCCAGTCGAGCAAACGGCCAAGTAGAGCGTGTCATGAGCACCTTGAAGAGCATGCTCACAGCGGTTGAGAGTAGTCAGCGATCCTGGCAAGACGCTTTAAAAGACATACAGCTGGCAATAAATTGCACGACAAATCGTGTAACGAAATATAGTCCGTTAGAATTGCTAATCGGTAAAGAGGCAAGGCCGTTAGGAATGATAACAATATCAGATGAAAAAACAATTGATAAAGATTTAATAAGAGCACAAGCGAAAGATAACATGGTGAATAACGCTAAATATGATAAGGCTAGGTTTGATAAAAATAAAGCAAAAATTGTAAAATATAAGCTTGGTGATCATGTCCTACTCAAGAGGGAAGAACGAAATCAAACGAAGTTAGATCCCAAGTTTAAGGGACCTTTTGAGATAATCGAAATACTTGATGGAGACAGATATTTATTAAAGTCATTGACGAGTAAGCGCACGTTTAAGTATGCACATGAGTATTTGCGAGCTTTTCCAAGCAACAATGTATCGGAGGAGTTGATAGATTTGAGAGATGATGAGTGTGACAATGTTGAGGACATTGCTCAAGACACTGTGGCACTAAGAGAGAGTGCGGTTGGGCTCATACACGATGGCTAAGACCGCACCATAATACTCACGCCGTGCACAAGTGCTCGATCATGGCGTGCTGAAGCGGGTGATATTATGGCGGGGGTCAGAGGTTGAAAGACCTGTATGGATCCGCTCCATGTTATCGTTGCTGGGCAGCAAGAGCCTATAGACGTGTGATGACAGAACAACAACAAAAAAAAAAAAAAAAAAAAATAA